AACCTTCAGAACTTTTCCAGATGTGGCTTTCAAAACATTGTCTCTGGTAGATCTCTTCGAGAATTTCACGTATATTTCTCCAGGCAGTTTATTTTTCGTTATAAAATTTGGATAGGGTCGGTAAGCCAAGTCCATATCATTTTGCAGCGCCTCTTGCTTAAGATCTGTCATTGGTGCTAACGCTTCACTTAAAATTACTTTTACATTTTCTCCTTTTTGCTCAGGAACACCTTAAAAGCGTAGGACATACATTGATCTTTCCATTTGGAGTTGCAGCAATTGGCCTTTATCCGAGACTCTCTCTTTTTCCACTTCCCCCAATTTTTCTTAAATATCTTTGGTCTTTGTTTCAACTCTCTTGATAGCTCTGTCTGTTTTGTCTGCTCTTTTATCCGTGTTAGTTGCTTTTGGACACCATCCAGCTTACTGTTGATATTAGATATCTGCTCCAGCAGGGGGTGCAATGCCGTAGCCAGCATATTGGGAAAGTCAGCAGCTGCATCCTGTGTCTGGGTGGGAGTCGTTGGTATGGTATTTCCTGTGAGAGGTTTCTTTTCTAGCACCATTTTTCTCCCTCTTCCAGACATTGTTTATACAAGAAGAAAGTTTTTGGATTTAAAGTCAAAGCTCTCCGATTTAAATATGCTTTGGATTATTTTGCACCTTTCGGTCTCAGTTACAGTCTCATACGGTTAGTTTTGCTTATTTCCTTTTCTTTTTCATTCAGGGATCGTTCAGTTTAGGGGGGGGTGATTCCCCAACTCTTCCTCCACCCGCTGCTTGTTTCTCAAGTTAAATCCAGTGGACTTAAAAACTTGGGACACTTATATGGGGGATCGCTTAACTCACTGTTTTTTCGCATTTAAATCATTGTAGGAGGGAAATCAAGCTAGATCTCTTGTACGCTCATCTGGCAGCCAGCTCTTATTGCCATAATGGCTTTGTGACGGCAGGACCTCTCGGGGTAGGGAGAGCCTTGATCCCTCGGCCATTGCCTCGGGAGCAGCTCTCCTCTACACCCCAGGCTGGGAGTCCCCTACAAGGACTCCGGGAGGGCCCGGATCCGGCTGGGACCCTTCCTGTCCGCCGCGGCTCGGTGCGTCTCCATCAGGAGCTCGATGGGACCCCTGCCAGCTGCAGTTATGATGGCACTAGAGTTCTTCCCTCTGGTACTGCCTGAGTTATGTTACTGCCCTCCCTTAGGCTTCTTCACATGAGACATGAAGAAAACAAGAAAAAACTTTTATTCTTGTACTGGGATAAGGATGTTCAGAAGGATGTAAGGATGTTCAGAAAAAAAGGCTCGAAACTATTTATGTGTAACACGCGTCATTTGCTGGCCTTGTTTAATTATAATGTTTTAGTTAACAATTACTAGGTGCAAAGAGCAGTTACCAGCCACACTTTTAAAACTCTTGAGGTGGTAAATATTTGGCTTTTCCACAATTTCAGGAAAACCATAGTATAACTGTTGAGCTCCTCCTAGAAACTCCAAATCTTTAGCCAGCTTTCCTAAGCAACTAGGCTCTGAGACAGTTACCATTCCTCCTAAAACATTCACTAAATTAACCTGCTTTTGCTGAAAGCCAGGCTCAGATACTTATACAGTCATCTGAAAAAGGATTCCCTGCCCCAGCCTAATCCTCTGTAGCCACAAACCCTGTCTCCTAAAGCACTCACTATATTAGTCTGCTTTCCCCCAAAGTCATGCTCTGAGACAATGCAATCTCCTGAGAAAGGATCCCTGCAAACCTCACTCTCTAGAGGCTCAAACTCAATCTAACTCAAACTGCTGATTGCAGAGCACAGAGGCTAAACTGAGACCTGCTACCTAACACCATTCAACTGCTCAATTCCCTCACCCCCCCCACACTGTCTTTACACACTTGAAATCCTCAGTTCTAAGCAAAACTCTTTTTAAAAGGTACTCTGGTTGTCTTTTACTTTCCTAATGGTCATCTTTCTCTTTGTTTTGACACTTCCTGACTACCCCTCTTGAACCCTCTATCATTCACCCACCTCTTTATTTGGCCTTTATTTATGCAGCAGTCTATATAAGTTTAAGATATTTCTATCTTGCTTTCTATTAATAATGCAATCATAAAGCAATATTTAAAAGCTTTATAGCAGCAAATATTTTAAAAATGTAAGCAAAAACAGAAAAAAGCAACCAGAAGAAGTTTAAGGCTGCATTCAGACACCTTACTTAATTAAGTAAAGCGACGCATAAATCCAACTTGTTGCCAGGCTTGCAAATATTGCTCACTTCTACCTCCTACATGGAGAATCAAAGCCAAATACTACTTCTAGTTGTTTGTGACAAACAAATGCAGAAGCACTGGCTAACCAAAACCTATTCCCACACCAAAATCCTAATCCACAGTTAAGATAGACATCTGAATGCAGCTGCTGAGAATAAAATGTCTTTACCTCGAGTCTAAATGAGACAACATCTATACATTGAGATGCAAGCTTCTAAATGTGAAACAATGCTAGTTGCAATTTAGTGAGGGCAAGGCAGGAATCTGGTAAAGAAAAGCAGCAGCATGTTGCTCAGAAAACTAACTTGATCTGGATGTTTTTATAAGGGTTATGCTCCACAGTTCCAGAGGTTTCTTTGCTTCTCTGTCCAGTTACTCTGCAGATTCCTCCTCTGGCCAGAGCCTGGTGGCAATGTACAGGTGGGACTCTGCCTGACATTCCCCCAGCTTCATGTTTCATACCACAAGTCCTGACAGGTGAACTATATTATCATTGGTATTCAATATTTGGCTAAGAATAAACTCCCTGTGATACAGCCCCGTAGCTAACAACCTTTTGCTCAGGGGGCCAATGTTTTTCTCAGGGGGCCTGCCATTATATGTCTGTGTGGTACTGCCATGCCATGCTCATACGTCTAAATAACAACTAAATAATAAATACAAGTAGTTTATTGCACAAAAATGTTTCAGGGAGATATTTGAAGGCCCATTGGAAATAATGGGAGCCAGGAAT